ACATTCATATGTACGTACATATTTGGCATGGCTGTCACTTCTGAAGATGGAATGCGAACTGACATTTCTGAGTGTTACACAGTGAGTGGCCATTTATACCTACGTATTCGGCATGGCTGTTAGTCCTGAAGATGGACTGCGAACTGAGTTTTACATAGCAACTGGTCATATGTACAGTGTACCTACATATTCGGCACGGCTGTCATCTCTGAAGATGGACTGCGAACTGAGCGGCATACATCACTTGAACTATGATGTAATATGGGTTCATTATTGGACCGCTGCACCACACAGGGTCAAAGTTGAATACCATGTAAATTTTGTGACAGTGTAAACAAAACTATTTTATTTTCTTCCTGGACTTCTGCACCTCCCAGAGTCATGGATGTGTGAATATTATTCTTGCATTGCAAGTTTTTATCATTTGACCTTGGCCTCTGCATCTCCAGGGGTCAAGGTCACCTGATATGTTGATGTACTGAAATGTTTGTTGACCCTGGCCTCTGCATCTCCCAGGGTCAAGGTCACCAGATATGTTGATGTTACTGAAATGTTGTTGTTGAACTGAAATGTTGTTGTTGAACTGAAATGTTGTTGTTGAACTGAAATGTTGTTGTTGCTGGGCCTACCCGTTGCTTTGGAGGCCCAAAATAATATGTTGTTATTTTATTCAGCCGTGCCCAAAAGCGCCAAATAAATAAAAAACACATAAATAAAAGTTGTCTTTGTTTTATTGCGTCTGTCCAAGATAATAAGATACTTGTTTGGAATTGCAACGTTCAAATATTTGGTTGATAAATCACGTGGGTCTACATGTTCTATAGAACTAGTCTCGTTAACAAAGCTAAGTAAAGGACAAATAGTGTTTAAATGCCAATTTAGGACAACACGTTGAAAATAAAGTTTTTAATTTCATCGATATTTTTCTTCAATCAAACATTACGATATACAAGTACATATATATAATCATGAATTTTCATAAATGTACATTGTACAATAAAGCTGCTACGTGTAATTGCTATGTCCAAATACTGTATTGTTGTTAGTTGTATTTTAAAAGTAATGAATAGATTTACTGTACAGGTAGAACAATTCGTATAATTATCAAATTAGAAACGTCGCTGCTTTGTCATTAAAAAAAAACTTCATTGACAGGTCTTAGTACACGAAAAAGAGAAACACATTACAACCTTCATTGGCTAACATAGAATTCTGATAGATAATTCTAATAGATAACTAGTGCTAATTGTAACGGGGACCGTTACAGATGTTCCCCAAACGCTCCCCAAATCCCTTTTTGTGCTTAATTCCTGTAAGACATTTTTTAAAAATATCAGTATCAAAGGATTTCATCAAAGAATTATAAAAGCTACAATGATATCAAATATATGTAATTTAACGCACTATATATACGTGCACGCACGTGCATGTACATGCAAGATGATCCCGGCATGTTGTCTAAACAATTAATGTATATATCGTTAGAATAGATAAACAAAAAAAATTTAAACAATATACATTTTAATGTTTTTTTTTAAATATTGGCCATTATGCGTATTTCGCGCGCGCACGTGCATGAAAGCATGTTCGTGCATTAAATTTTTATAGTACCACTATGTAGGAATCCATTACACCTATTCATATTTTAAATTTTATCCAGTTTCGTTGAAAACTCAGAAAGTTATAGACATTTAAATTTTCAGCCAATCAGATTACAGCACAAGTGCATGCGCATGCTTTTCATAATAATTCTTATATACCATACTGTAGATCTTTATAATGTATACCCATGTTCAAAATTTCAAAGAATTTTGTCGAAAAACAAGAAAGATATTGAGACTTTAGTTTCAGCCAATCAGAGCAAAGCGCACGTGCATGTGCGTGAGATCTTGCTATCTTGACCATGTCCTCTAGTCTCTGCGTCATATATGTCCTTATATTAAAAGTTTCAAAACAGTTCATCAAAAATTTAAATAGTTACGTCTATATCAATTATATTGGACATTTTTGGTGTTTTACGTGCGCGCTCTTGCAAGCACACGTGCATGCACATGCTTTCATGACAATTCTTTTATATCAGGCTGTAGATCTTCCTAATGTATGACTATATTCAAAATTTCAAAGGATTTTATCAAAAAACAAGAAAGATATTGAGACTTTAGTTTCAGCCAATCAGAGCAATGCGCACGTGCATGCGCGTGAGATCTTGCTATTTTGACCATATCATCTTGTCTATGGTACTAATATATCCTTATCTTATGATTTTTAAAAAAAATCATCAAAAATTTAAAAAGGTACGGCTATATTCATTATATTGGTCATTTCACGTGTTGCACGTGCACGCTCTTACAAGCACGTGCGCGCAAAATGACCTTCGTTCCGCAAATCTACATTACATGCCTAGTGACCCTAAAAAGGTTTCACCTTAATCAAATGTGTAGTTTACAAGATCACTCGCGGAAAAGATTTTCCCAGGAAGAAGAAAAATAATAATAATAATAATAATAATAATAATAATAAGAAACAGAGTAAAAACAATATGTTCCCCAACTTCGTTTGGGGAACATAATTATTTCAGGTAAATCCTCCATGAGAAGTTATTCTGTCATATTTTATAATAACCTGTGACAAGTTCCTGGTTAATGATATTTTCCATACCTTAACGAAGGCCAACAATAAAAAATACAACGAAGGCCAACAATAACAAGAATAGATATGGGTTACCCCATATCCAAAGATATTCGACTTTTAGATTTAATATGTTTAACAGTGTTTATAATGACGTTGATAAAAAAAACTGCACTGTCTAATTATGGAACTGTAGTAAATTTCGTGAGTCCATAGCATTACGGTCACCAAGTCTCCTAACAAACAGTACACATACATGTAGGCCTACACGTACCCGTGTCCGCAAGACCAACATTAGCCTTGGTCTACACACGTGCGATGGAGCTGTCAAACGCATCCAGCGAGCTCGGAGAAACACGTTTTGGTTTGCCGAGAAGTTACGATGGCAGACAAAACTTTTCTTTTCTTAATTAGATCATATGAATACGAATTCTGATTAATAAAAATTATACAATCCCTGTTGAACTATATATAGTTTGTTCTAACATTTGCATCTGCAACAACTTGTGTTTAAAATGGCCGGGTTAGGAAAATCAGGACCGGGTCGGAAAATTCTAAACTGAAAACCTTTTTTGTTTTGAAAATTACTGAAATATACTAATGTATTCGTCACAGAAATTACTTACATTATTCAAGTTCTATATAAAATGGTATGCTGAACTTCAACACGAACCCGAATCTCCAACCCAGTTCTCGTTTTGCCACACATACCCTACAGTTTACAAAGTGTACACACGAGCAGAATCCGGCCAGGGATCGAAAATTCCGTCATTTAATAATACACATACACAGAATGATTAATTTTTTCTTTAAGAAGAAATTGTATGATAATTAATGGACTATAAACATGTACTTAATACAATTGTTGATATAGTGTTATCAATTCATCGGTGAAAAGATATGAATCGAAGAATGACCTAAATATTCTTTGTTATCAAACATGTTAAAAAAAAAAAGGCTGAGGAGGGAGCGAGCGCAGGAATATTGATATTTTTCATTTGCATTTCGGGGGGAAAGTGACTTTCTAATAATATTTTGACGTTATTTTTGATTTCTTTAACGTATGACAAACACAACTTTACTCTTATCATGAACAATAATGTTGTATCTACTTATCATGATGGAATTATTTTGGTCGGACCAATTTGTGTGAGCCGCCGCTGAATACAGTAATATATCTTGCATAAATAGTATGCACTGTGGCAACGCACTTTGAAAAAATTACGCACTTTGAAATAATATTTCAAAGTGCGTTAAAAATGGGACAAAATCAACGCACTTTGAAAAAAATTTTCAAAGTGCGTTAAATTTGGGACCAACTCAACGCACTTTGAAAAAATTTTTCAAAGTGCGTTAAGAGTCTACATCAATATATTTTACCATGGAGACACTTAACGCACTTTGAAAAAAAATCATATTTTAGTCATGGAAAGATTTTATTTCTTATTTATCTTTCAAAAAACTAAGCCTAACCCTAGCCTCAAAAATGAATTGATTTTACTCCCGTCGAAAAGAGGAGAAGACGGGTATTAGATCCCTAAGTCCACATCTTTATCTTTCCAATACATAGGTGTCGGTAACAAACGGGGGAGGGGAGCAATAAACCTCAAAAGGGTACGCTGCATTTTCAATGCTTATACGATGTATATATCTTTCCAAAATAAGTTGGGGGCTAAGCTCCCCATCCCCTCCCCTGGCCCTTCGCCCAGTCTCGATGTCTATGCTATACTCAAAGCATTCATATAATAATGTATTTACCTAACTGGTATGACGTTGAAAACTTTCAATAATAAATGAGTTAATGAAAACAGATGAAAACTAGAAATTTTTAAGTACAGTAACACGTATGAGAGAGAAAGAATTTTCATAGTTTTGAACAATCAAATTGGCCCCTTTTTATTATGATAAATGCTAAGTTGCTTGAAGCCGTCCTCTGTCAGTGCCCCCTATACACCTTTACATCTACTTATCAAAGACTAGAATTAAAAAAAAAAGAAGAAACGAATTAATGAACTTAAACAATCGTCACTCTTTTTTTCAAGACCCTTTAATTTTCCCTTTTATTTTATCAAAACCTTAAATATTTAAAACGTCAATATCTCAGGTCCTACAATGACTTTATCATAAAAAAGTTATCAAACCAGGATCTGTTATTTATCATACCGATTATTTGAAGAAATATTGATCAATCTTTACATTTTTTTTTTCAAAGTGCGTTAATATGGTCGATATTAACGCACTTTGAAAAAAAATATTTTTTTCAAAGTGCGTTAGCTTGGTCCCAAATTTTAACGCACTTTGAAAATTTGTTTCAAAGTGCGTAATTTTTCAAAGTGCGTTGTAACAATGCACTGATCGAATATATTAAAAAGAGTTGGTTGATGTACTCCGACTGAACCATCAAAGAGGTGTCTACTCAATATTTGTTGATGACTTAAATTTGATTTTTTTTTCAAGAAAATTGAGATCGATTCATTCTGTTTGGGTTTACATTTTTTTTTGTATTTTATTTCTCTGCAACACTCTTTTTTTCATTTGAAAGTTTTATAGCAATAAATATCAAACATGACCAGTTACCCAGTGTATAATGAATACGTACATCCATAAATTTCCGAGTCTGTCATTTTTATGACATTTATCAGTTTGTAATAAACTTAAAAAAACTACCAACCTACCTACCAAGATTTTAAAATACCAGTCGGAGTACATCATACAAAATATTGATTATTATACTCTAACCTACTGTAGGATCAACAGAGGGTAAAATTCCTGATTCGTTTTTATAAACAATATAGAGACAATTTTCTGCTGTTTATGATATTAATAATTATGAAAAAACTGCAAAACTCAGACCCACAAGTTATGTTTTGTTTCTCTTTCACCTTTGGTTGTGTCTTCATGATAGGAAGAAAAAAACGAACTGCAGACTTGTTACAGTATTGCAGGAACGTAAATCACGCAAACATCAATCCATGGGTTATCATTGATCTCAAAATCTCGTCCTGAGTTAAGCTTTCTTTTCCCAAGCAGTTTTATCTATTGCGATGAAATTCTTGTATACCTTGAAGATCAACCAAGCAGTAGTACAATGAAACAAGGGACATTGGTATTTTGCTGCAACATAAACAGTGAAGAATGTTTGTACTATTGTATTTCACTTCACAAAGTCAAGTTTTTAAAAAAGTCTGAAGGCAGGGATTTCAACAAGTCTCTGTTTAAATCGATGGAAGGAAAGTCCTCTTTCGAGCATACGTGTTGTAGTGTACGAGATATTCGTTGACTTCTGCGCTGAAATGGTTAAAAAAATTCACAATGACCAGGACTCAAACAAGAAAACTAAAAACTTTTAAGAACTTTATGCTTAAAAAAAAAATAAATACAATAATTATGAGACGTAGGAAATGAAATGTGAAGACTACAAACAATAATCATGCTTAAAATTAAACATCACAAACAAAGAGAGTGAATTATCTTAAAAATAGAATATTATTTGGGACACATAAGCACCAAATGCAGATGTTACGTGTATGGCATTAGATATTCATTTGTGTATTGTTGTGTAACTTTTCCAGCTGTATGAAACATTATCAAATACCGCTATAAGTCTTCAAAGTGAGGGTTTTTGTCTTGGCATCGCCTACCGTGACATAGATCCTAAGTTTTTTAAATTTTTTTTTTATAATGTAACTATTATATGGTCTTATTTTTCAGTTTCTTTATAGAAAATTACGAAAGCCGGATAGGCTCATTTCTGAAAAGATAAAAAAATATTTAACTCGTTATAACGAGTTAATTATCTCGTTATAACGAGTTAATATCTCGTTATAACGAGTTAGTTATCTCGTTATAACGAGTTAGTTATCTCGTTATAACGAGTTAGTTATCTCGTTATAACGACTTAGTTATCTCGTTATAACGAGTTAGTTATCTCGTTATAACAAGTTAGTTATCTCGTTATAACGAGTTAGTTATCTCGTTATAACGAGTTAATTATCTCGTTATAACGAGTTAGTTATCTCGTTATAACGACTTAATTATCTCGTTATAACGACTTAATTATCTCGTTATAACGACTTAGTTATCTCGTTATAACGAGTTAGTTGTCTCGTTATAACGAGTTAGTTATCTCGTTATAACGAGAAAATTAACTCGTTATAACGAGAAAATTTTCTGGTTATAACGAGTTAATTTTCTCGTTATAACGAGTTAAAAACTCTAAAGTTGATATATGTAAGTAATAGGAAGTATTGCATATAAAATTCAATATTTCTTTGAAAAACAGCAAACTAGTTTTGTCTTGTTTTTTTTTTCGAGGGGTTGTGTCTGTGATTGTAGTTCGTTTAATTATAAACGATGCAGTTGATTTGTATTGTTTTACTCAAAAAAAAACCAAAGACAAATACGTGTACATGTATACGGAACCTTATGCCTGCCTCGTGATGTTGTGTTATGAGTGGACAGTAGCCCCCGAATTTTACGCGGGCCCAAGACTTAATTGCTGATGTCTCCATACCCCCTTCTTCAAAACATTTCTGACTCTAAAGATAATATATATCACACTGTAAGTGTATATAAGATATGTTGCGTAACTAACGCCAGCCTTATCTTGCCATTATAATGCATTAATTAAGAAATTAGACATTGATTATGGAAGCTATAAGGTCATCCAAAAGTTAAACATATATATAAAAAACTAGAGGTACTGTGAGCAATGAGCTCACTAAATGATACCCCCCGCCTCCCATATGATTATAATGGCAAAGTCCATGTTTTGCGGTGGCCAGGAAACCCAAAATATTTGTCGGATCAAAACATAAAATAGGAGGTGCACAATGGCAATATGTATTAAAGATTCTGTGAAAGTTTCATTAAATTTCACTCAGTTGTTTAAGAGGAGTTGAGGATAAGAGAAGGGTACCCCAAAGCGTAACAGACGGACGGACGGACGGACGGAATTAACGATTACTATATACCCTCCCGCTTTTCAAGCGGGGGGTATAAATAGTGTGTTTTATCGGAGAAAGTTGTTATACTTAAATTGCAAAAGTTTGAAGCAAGTACATTTGGCCATATATTTTTAATAGTGTGTACTTAGAGACGTTCACGTATAAATGTGTAAATGTCTTCGATTAAAAGATTGCTATTTTTATCAAATTGTGATTACTGACGGCAAGATATTTGTAGTTCGAACAGGATTAATATTATTAAAACCATATTGCAAATTATATTGGCATCTCTTTATCAATTTTAAAGTTAAGTACGACTGATGATTATCAACTAAACTTCAATGGCATTAAAACTACAGCCATTTTTAATTCCTATATTGCTATTAATTTGGAAATAAAAGGGCAACTTATTACTTCGTTATAACGAGATAATTGACTCGTTATAACGAGAAAACTAATTCGTTATAACGAGATAACTAACTCGTTATAACGAGATTACTAAGTCGTTATAACGAGATAATTAATTCGTTATAACGAGATAATTAACTCGTTATAACGAGATAACTAACTTGTTATAACGAGATAACTAACTCGTTATAACGAGATAATTAACTCGTTATAACGAGATAACTAAGTCGTTATAACGAGATAACTAAGTCGTTATAACGAGATAACTAAGTCGTTATAACGAGATCATTAATTCGTTATAACGAGATCATTAATTCGTTATAACGAGATAACTAACTCGTTATAACGAGATCATTAACTCGTTATAACGAGATAATTAATTCGTTATAATGAACAATAACTCGTTATAACGAGATAATTAATTCGTTATAACGAGATACTAAGTCGTTATAACGAGATAAGTAATTCGTAATAACGAGATAAAACGAAGTCGTTATATAACGACATAATTAACTCGTTATAACGAGATAATTAACTCGTTATAACGAGATACCATAGTCGTTATTACGAGATACTAAGTCGTTATATTGAGATAACTAAGTCGTTATAACGAGATAATTAACTCCTTATAACGAGTTAAATATTTTTTTATCTTTTCAGAAATAAGCCTATCCGGCTTTCGTAGAAAATAATTTATTAATAATGCTGACATTATTTTGCTGATATTTCAAAAGTCTGTGTGTCCCTTCTCTGCTCCCTATTTGTTTCAATAGAGCTTGGTCACCGTTTGTTAATTTCTACATTTGAATAGATTAATAATAATAATAATGCACATGTTTGCACATTAAGTTATGACATAAGTATAAGTTCCTTATAACCACCCGATGCCTTTCCATCCGAACTCGCTGTTCCTCCTCGCTGATGTCACGATCTAAGTCTGATTTATCTAAATAAAAAAAGATTTTATTATTTATGATCGTATCTACTTCATTTGCTTACCGACATATCAAACAGTTCTTATACTACTGTACATGATTTACATAAGTTATATTGTTATATAGAACGTTACTTGATAGACTCCTTTTTTTAAATGCCTGTCTAGTTGGTCGACGACGGAAGATAACCCCCCCTTCCTACAAAAGAAAACACATAAAGCTGACAATTCTGAAATACCCAATGCAATTTTACAACCATACATCAGTAAACGTTTTAAATATTGACCTCTCTCGACGTGTTGTCCACTTCTATAGAATCTTGTTCACCTTTGCTGTGATGAGTTTCTGAAATGAAACATATGGAGATAACAAACAGTATTCAGGATAAAAATCCATAAAAAATACAAATAGGATCAGAGCAAACAAAGACATCCAAAACAGTGAGATCGGGTGTCACGGAGGAGTGAGCATCGCCTGCCGACCGGTCACACCCGCCGTGTGCTCTTTGTCATGATCGGGAAGTAACGGAAATATCCGTCGTCAATTCAGTGTAGAAATAATCAAATAACAATTAGTATGAAAAAAGTCAGTCAACATTTGACTCAAGGATAAAATGTATTTGCTGACAAAGTCATTGTATAGACCCTAGAACTTACAAAAAGATGACTTTATACGAGACAGTTGATATTCTTCTTTCATCAACTTGTTTGTCAATAATTTACACCGTTTTAGAACTTGTTTATACGTAGGGCATGCTCTTGCATTTCGAATCAATTAAGTTAAATAAACTCTGTATGTAGGTGATGAAGGTATATTGCTGCATAAGTAAGGGAAGTTGACGATAGAAAAGTTAAAGTCATCACGTTTATCATAGAGCTTGGTTCTTAGATTATCATTAACGTCTTTTTCAAATAATTTATCCTAATATAAGAGAGATGTGTCAGACTCTGTAGTAAATTTCATCTCAAGCTCAACGGGATATTTTGTATCGACATAAGAATAGAAATCACCATTGTTAATTGACAATACGTCGTCGATATATCTAAATGTTGAGTTGAAGGTTACGGTAAGTGTTTTCTTCTTTTCACGTACAAGATTTTTTACAAATTCTGCTTCATATGAATACAAAAATTAGTGCTAGTAACGGGGCGCAGTTGGTGCCAATGGGAATTCCAATAGATTGTTGGAAGACCTGGTCTCCAAAAACAACATAGATATTGTCAATCAGAAACTCAAGCATCTTTTTGATGTCAACTTCAGAGTAAGAAACGCCCTATTCTATTTATACCCCAGAGAGACTTTAACATATCGGTTTATCTCTCTGCTGAATAATCTAAAACTGAGGCATATATTACCAGTAGATATGTTGGTGTTACAGGGATTTCAATAATCTCATTTAACAGCAGCATTTAATTACTTCTAGGTTGTTATTATGACATTGTTAAAATATAAAATTTATCTTTGGGTCGTTTTTTGACTGCAAAACATTTGAGAAAAGGGTTCATGCTCTCAGCAGTAGTAAAATATAACAGTACTGATAATGTTGATATTACCTAAATTGTTAGATAAAATCCATTTTTCTTGCAATGTTTTTAGTAACTTTTTTGTTGCTTTAAGTATCAGAGACTCTGACATTTCGGAATGAAGTTTCTCCTCCCTGCCCTGTGCCATATCTAAGATCTCCTTCAGGTAATGCAGAGGTGACCTCACGTCACTGATTTCATCTAGAATACACTGTGTTCTGTCTTTGATGAACACATGAGATGAACCCAAGCTCTCTTCATTCACATAAACCGTCACCGTTCGCTTACCAAATTCACAAAAGTCTGAAGAGAGAGAAAAAAAAATTAATGTTAATTTTAAAACATCAATATGCCCGAAAAACTTAAAGTGATATCAAGTTTACAAATTGAAAATGTCACAGTTACGGTAAGATATACTAGTATTTCAATACTGCTTTATTCTCACATCTCTTAAATAAAGTAGTCGGTCTTTTTAGGGTGAATATTAAACTGTCCATTGCATTAACCATTCTCTCTCATTGCTTAAAGATTAAAGAGAATTTTATTTAAGTCCAATTAAAAATAAGGTAATAGATCAATATAACACATATTGTACAATTCAGACATACCAACAAGCATTATTATGACTGGATAAAGATCTGACCATCCTACGTATTTTTATAAGTCACAAAAGGATAACATGCCCTTCATGACAAACTTGTATACATGTTACGCTAGTGTGTAGGTAGCTGCAGATCTGTAGCGTTATGGTTTTACAAATTTGTCTTTGACCATAACGCTACAGATCCCGTAATGCAAAAAGGTGCAATTAACGGCGCAATATTTTTGTGCACTTTTGGGGAGAATTTCTCCACTTTCCAGCATCGGTCAATTAACTTCCTTTCAACTCCCTAATTCTAAGCACATTATTTATTAATCTGTATATTTTATCCACCTCCCAACCCTTTATAGTCGTCTCTAGAAGTGATAAACTCGTTTGATTAAATTATTTGTTAGATTGCTGAAAATTCACTTCAAGCGAGTTTATTACCTGTAGAGACAACTTTAAATGGTTGGGAGGTGGATAAAATATACATATTGGCTACAGAATGTGCCTAGAATTAGGGAGTGAAAGGTAGTTGATCTATGCAAGAAAGTGGAGAAATTCTGCCCAAGAGTGGGCAAAAAATATTGCGCCTTAAATTGCACCTTTACGGGATCTGTAGCGTTATGGTCAAAGACAATTTATTACCGTAAATCTGGAAATTTTTACGTCGATTTTATTTTGCGAATCTGGGTCAAAATGCTGTTGATTAAGTTTTACGTTTCAAAATTTTGCGAATGACCACTACTTTGCTTACATTTTCTTACTGTTGAATTTTTTTTAACAAAAATATTTTTGCGAATGCAATGAACTCGCAAATTTGCTAAAAATTTATCTACAGCAAAAATTTCCAGATTTACGGGTATAAAACCATTACGCTACAGATCTGCAGCTAGTGTGTAGTATGTCCGAGATACGCTTACCAGCTAATCTGCATTTATAAGTATGTGGATTAATCCACGTGGCTTTGAATAACCGATCCTCCGATTCCACCATTACTTTTTCCTCGATCGATCTCTCGCAATCGAATGAAATGACTACATCTTGCTCGTGCTAAAATTTAAATATAGCTCTATATACTTATTACTCAGTATAACTTAGCTTCTAAAGTTCAATTCATTTTTGCTTCATAATATTTAGCAATTTTTAAAAAAGTAAATTATGAAATGCAATTTTTCTGTGTGCAAGAATTTTTATTGTCTTATAAATAAGTGGGTTTATACAAAACCAGTTATTATTTCAATATTGGTAATAATTTTGTTACATTTAAGAAAACACTGTCTAGTTTGTTGGGTATGTCAGGGCATGGAAGATAGTTGGAAACGTTGGATAATTTGCATAAAATGATAAAATGCAAAAATTCATCCCACGTTTTCAACTTTCTTTGATGTCCCTGGCATACAGTGTTTCCATTTCATTGTGAAATAAAATTATAGATTTAGATTTTTAAAAAAGGACTAATAGATTTAAATTGCACAAGGCCTCCCAAGTCAATTTCGATAGTTCCCGTTTACTGACGTCAAACACAAATACAGCTGCACGAGACTGAAATGCATACTAAGCATTACCTACTATACCTAGCTCCTGGCCTTTAGTTTGGCAAAATTTATATTCCGGTTGAATTATCAAGATATCAACTTTCAAAGATTTATCATAGAAAAAACAAAAAGAAATGGAAATATTGACAAAAAATGCCTGTTTAATCTTTGTTAGCATTTTCATCAACACTACCTTCCAAGGTGTTTCTGGGTAAAGCGTAAATTCGGGTAAAAGACAGAACTCGGAATCAATCTCCTCATTTTCTGCATCTATGAGTTCCAAAATTTTACCGGTAAGTGTTCGAACTTTTTTTCCAAGAGGAAGAACATTGCAGTTTGAAAATGAAGGTAATGTTTTGTTTAGAATTTCTTGAACGGATACCCCGAAGATATTGACAGTGTCATGATAAAATAGTGCGCACTCTTTGCTTAGAAAATTAAGTTCCCGTGAAGACGATGACTTTAAAACAGATAACATTCCCGGAGTTAAAAACAGTACACTGGCGGAGTGGCGAGGAGGATCTACAGCATGTGATATTTTTGTCGTATGTACTATGACGTCACATTGTTCTAAGCTTTTCCTGACTGTGTTCACAATTTTTGATCCGTCGTTTTCGTAAACAAGTAAAACCGAAGAATCCATATTGAATGTAGTATGCCAAATAAGTAATTTTGCCTGAAAAGTGAAAAGTCAATTTTTTAATGAAAAATAAAGCAAACTTCCAACAAACTTTATTGTTACCTTCTCACTCGATGTATCATTTAAATGTAAGAAGTAGGAGATAACATATGATATAAATCAAAACAGTCGCTGGAGTATTGGAAATAAAAAAATGAAGTTCATTAATTCATTACTCATTTTATTTGAAAATATTCGGACAATCCTTCAACTGGGTCCTATGAATGAAACATGCATAGAATAATATTTTTACACTTAAGAATTTTTTTTTGTTTAAGCATTGCAAAATGTTTGGATTGGTTGTAAAATCAACATGCTTATCTACATAAAAGCAGCAATGATTAGTACGGATTTAAAATGTATTAAGCTCGTTGTTATACAAATTCTCACCAAAACCATATAACTAATGTAACTAATTTCAATGAATATTCTACCAAGCCTTTTTCTTGACTTCTCATAATCACTATGAAAAACAGGAGTGAAGGAGGCATTTTAGGAATATGAGCTTGCGAAATGATGACTTTGAACGAGTCTGCTGAAATTCTTGTTTTATTGACTTCTTTGTCAGCAAATACAATATATCATTGAGTCAAATGCTGACTGACGTTTTTCATTCTAATTGTTAGTCTATTATTTATATACTGAATGTACGACGGAATTTACCATTATTTTCCGATCATGACAGGAGCACGCGGCGGGTGTGACCTGGGAGGTTTTGGGGTCCGTGTTTGCTCTGCTTCTATTTTGTATTGTTTTATGAATTTTGATATTGAATACTGTTCGTTATTTTCATATCTTTCATTGTCAAACGCTTGCCTCGTTTCAGAATTGTTAAATACACGTATAAAATGCTCTTGTGTTTCAAATCAACTATCAGACATTCACCCCATACTCATCAGTATTCATAGGCAAGTTATTGACAAACAAGTTGAGGAAACAAGAATATCAGCAGTCACCATTTTGCAAGCTCTATGGTCGATACAATGACTTTGTAAGCAAATAATAATATATCATTAACACAAATTCTGACTGAACTTTTTCATACTAATTGTAAAGCCATTATTTACACAATGTATTGGGTATGTATTTTCCGTTTTTCTCGATCATAAGGAACACGTGGTCATTAGAGGATGCTCATTCCGCAAACAGAACTTAATTCCACCTCAAACGTTTTAGAGTTTAATTCAGAATCTGTTCATTTGCATTGTTTGAATGGAGTTGGGGATTCTACTTTTGCGTAATTTTCATACGTTATTCTATAAGCAAACAACTTCCCACATGGCCGTAAACACCAGGGGGTGGGGTGGGGTGGGGTGGGGGGGGTAATCCTTCCCCCTTCCATAATTTTCCCGATATATAGAATACTATAGAAAGCTCAGCTAACTACCAGGTTTATACCCCCCCCCCCCAATAATTACTCTCATTTATTTACCTTTTTCTTTGTTTTCATGATTGCCCCGGCCCCTCTTAAATGAAATTGCTTCCTACGGGTACATTATACCATTAACTATTGAATATAGAGAACGTTTGCATGATTCATTTTATGTTGGATATCTCAAACTATAACTGTGATCAAAGTGCAAATATGCAAGCCTCATTCATAACCACTCTAACGAAATCTGATATATATAACCTGGCTTATAATTGCAACCTGTGACACACTACCAATATTTACTCGGAACATCTTCGACATACTGCAGCTTTGACAGTTGATATGCTACATCTAGATAAGTAAGACAATAATATTTGCAAAAACTTACCTTTCACAGGTACAAAATACCAATGGAGGCACCTAAAGCTATTGCTTGGAAGGGTAAGGTCATAGTTATATAAATAGGCAGGCGAAAGGCACGTACAGCACAAGCGAGGTGGTTTAATACGATATGTTTCCAAAAAATAATTATTAAGTCATGCAATCTGCTTGAACCGCTCTGTAAGTACCTCTTGAATAAATTACTACTATATAATTGAAACTCTAAGATGAGATTGCATGAATGTAAAACTATGATATTTCTCTATATGATTGTATGAAGTACTAAAAATTTTTTAACCTGATTCTTAGTGTCTTTTAGGACAAATAGATTTTTAAATATGTGACTGAAAACAGTTGCGCCCCTGACAATGAATGCTAGAGAAATACAATCAACAGAAGTCTGTGTATAAGAGGAGACTCTCTGAGGTACTCATTGATCACTTTCAAATTTAAAAGAAACTACAGTCAAAGATTTCAACCACATGATAAAATTCCATTACACACAGATATAGTTTACATGAAAATTATCAGATTGCATGTAAATAAGATATTGCACTCTGAACTCTTAAGATTCGTGAAAAGTTTTAAAAATCAAATATTCTACAACGGAGGTGTCATCTTTCTACAAGTTTATAATTTTGAAACCGTATTTGCTTTGGCGATAAGCATTTATATCTTAAGTCTATCACCTATGTATAGTTTAATACGTACATACTGGAATCCATCGGATGAGTGACTTTTAAAGCCAGTGCTTCATACACTCGTACATTAAGATGATATCTGATCTAGGCAAAGGAATGACGATTTACAAATATAACTACATTCAGAGAAATAATGAATTTTAAAAAATCAATTCTTATAAAAAATCTGTGTCAATACTAAACCGTGCTCCACGGTCTAGTGAATACATTAATTATACTATTTGTCCAATACTCATGATTGCTACAAAACATATTTTTTTCGAAATTTTCACCGTTGCTTTTTTGCATGTCTCTTAAACAATTAAGATGAATTAATTCGGTTCAATTTCGATGGTTTGCTTTTATATTCGAAGACTAGAGCAAATAGGTATTTAAATTGATAAAGTATTGTATGCTTTATCACATAAATGAATACATAAATATACCACAAATGAATACATTTTGACATTATCGTGAATCAATTCTTCAAAAATTAAGTTTTAAGAATTTACCGTTATTTACTAGTTATTTTGTAATGTTTATAGATTTTTTTTTTAGATCGATCACTTTTCGTTATCATCAACTTTAACATTCATAAAATTTCTCAAAATGTTTTCATGAAATGATATTTAGGGAGATAATGATGTTTCATAGGATATTTTACTTTAAAAAGACGTTAATGGTTATCTAACAACCAAGCTCTATGATTGACGTGATTATTTTAACTTTTCTGTCGTCAGTTCCCTTTCCTATGGTCAATTCCCTTTTCTATCGTCAATTCCCTGATTTATCTTTAACATACCTTCATCACCTGCATACGGAGTTTATATATCTCAGTTGATTCGATTCGATACGCAAGAGAATGATCAGTACGTACTGGTTCCTGCCGACAAAGCAGGTAACAACATTGTCTTCGTTTGTAAGGCTCATTATATAAATTGTCTTTTAGAAGAACTTGGATTTAATTCTACAAGTGGTAATCCTACTTACACTCATACTTCCCTTTCTAAGGAAGAACTTCTTCAAAATAATATGTCAGTTTTAAATCTTTTTAATATTCCATAGAGCCAAAATGAATTTGAACTACCCAATATATATTGGATTCTCAAACTTCATAAAAATCTTACAAACAAAGATACATTGCGGGTTCCAGTAAATGTTCAACCAAGCCTCTTTCATTACTCCTCACTAAGATATTGACAGTAGCGAAGGAAGAACTTCAAGAGTACTTTGCAACAATATATTCAAGAAGTGTGTGAATCAGATGTGGATACTCAAAAATTCCAAGGAACTTTTGGACAATTTGAAATCGCAAGATTTTACCAGAATCACCAGCTTAAAAACTGACGACTTTTCAACTTTATACACAACCATTCCCCACGATATATTAAAGTCCAGGCTTTTTGATATCATTGACAGCTGCTTTTTCAATAAAAAAGGAACTCGTAAATTTACTTACCTGGTCATTGGTCATTTGCAAAATTATTCTGTTAAAACACATTCTGATTGCACACACAAGTACTCTGAAGTTGACATCAAAGAGATGCTTGAGTGTCTGATTGACAATATCTATGTGGGTTTTGGAGACCAGGTATTCCAACAATCTATTGGAATTCCCATGGGTACCAATTGCACTCCGTTATTAGCAGATCTATTTTTATATTCATATGAAGCAGAATTTGTGCAAAATGTTATGCGTGAAAAGAAGAAAACACTTGCTGAGGCCTTCAACTCGACATTTAGATATATCGACTTTGTTTTGTCAATTAACAATGGTAATTTCCATTCCTACGTCAATACGATATATTCTGGTTAGCTTGAGATAAAGATACCACCGAGTCTTATGCATCTTCTTCATACTTGGATATTTTACTTGAAAAAGACGCTAATGGTAATCTAACAACCAAGCTATATGATAAACGTGATGACTTTCACTTTTATATCGTCAACTTCCCTTACTTATGCAGCAATATACCTTCATCACCTGCATACGGAGTATATTTATCTCGGTTGATTAGATACGCAAGAGCATGCTCTAAGTATGAACAATTTCTTAAACGAGGTAAATTATTGACAAGCAAGTTGATGAAACAAGAATATTAGCAGTCTCGTTTAAAGTCATCATTTCGTAAGTTCTATGGTCGATGCAATGACCTTGTCAGCAAATACAATTTATCATTGAGTCAAATGCTGACTGACGTTTTTCATGCTAATTGTTGGTCCATTATTTATACACTGAATTGACGATGGATTTTTCCGTTATTTCCCGATCATGACAGGGAGCACACAGCGGGTTAGCTGCAATAATGTAGCCCTCTCCGATTTTTTTTAATCTGATGTTTTCTGGAGAGGGCTACAATTCCATCGCATCTCCGTAATGGTGCAAATATTTTTTTTTAATAGGAGCGACTGCAGGCAAAATAAATTATTTTTACATTCAACTTACTTCTAATAAGACGAATTTTTTATTCACTGTCAACAGTAGACCCCGTTAAATGCGAAAAACTTGTAAAATAACTCTGCATGTTTCCTGGTAGGCCTAGTTTACTTCAGCAGCCAT